ATTTTTTCTCTTCCACATTCTGAAGTGATAGAATATGGATTCATGTGGAAGATATAAATGGGTTAATACTAAAGAAGGTCACTTTTTTGGTATGTCTTCAATTAAATTGACAATTATTATCGTTTCCAAAATTCTATTAAACATGTATACAAAAATAATGTACAATTATGCTGCAGGGACTGTACCAAAATCAATGAAGGTTGATGTATACTTTATATTTCTTCACTTATTTTCTTCTTAATTTTCAGTTTTGCTCTAGAGACTTAATAAGAATGATGGCTTTTTTCTTTACACTAGGATTTGGTCAAAGAAAGAATAGAAAATTGGCTGATGTAAATTGTCTGTGATTTGTGGGAACGAGTGGGAGTCACTAAATATTTGGACAAAGTTGTTTTCAGTTATGTCAATTAAGCTTTCCTTGATGATTTTAAAGGGCTACATATGTAATGAATTTTAATGTTATATTTAATAAAACCTATACATAGAAATTTCTACAGAAGGGGTTGGAGAGATGGCTGGCTCAGAGATTAAAAGCACTGGCTGCTTATGCAGAGGACACTGGTTCAGTTCCCAGCACCCACATAGTGGCTAACTGTCCATAACTCCATTTTCAAGGGCTCTATTGCCATCTTCTGGTCACTTTAGGCATTGCATGACATGGGTGCACTTATGTGCATACAGGCAAACATAAAATAAAAATAAATGAAAAAATAAAATTAAAAGTTGAAATAAATTAAAAATTGTTTGAGAACTTGATACATTAATACTCTATTTGCACAATTTTCAACTCTCCAAGTCTTCCCATGCTCCCGTCATTTCCTATTTCATGACTTCTTTAATTATTATTCCTGTATAGACACACACACACACACACACACACACACACACACAAACACACATAGGAATTTATTTAGTGATGCTTGTATCCATGTGTATAGGGCTGGCCTCTTAGGATTGGACAACCTACCAGAGAGCTTGTCCCTAGAAAAAAAACTGCTTCTCTACAATGTTTTCTAAAGGATATAAATAGTAGCAAAGTGCAACAAAGTTGCCAATGTGCCAGAAAGTAAAAGGAGTGTCCCATTCATATGAAAAGTAAAATTACACTCATACTGTATTTTAGAATGCTATGGTTTGTAAAATCAATGAAAAAGTTATCTTATAGTTATTCTGTAATGAATTAGTACATGTAAAATTTGAAAATACAGTGTTGCCTAATGGAGCATCTTCTTAGTTTATGTGATGAAATGATGTTCACTAAGTTTATGATACTTAAAAGCAGAAGAAAGCAATTTTAATATATTTTCTAAAAAATTCAGATAAATTCTCTGAAGTATCAAATTTATCATAAATATTATTTTATTATCATGATATAAATTCTAAGTAGATTTAATTACAATAATTGGAGCTGTTGCAATGGCCTGATTAGGAATTTTACATCATGATGCAGTTTTTCATACTATAACAAAATGCCTGAAATGATCAAACTAAAATAAGAAAATGAGGGACTGGAGGAAGGAGCACACTCCCAAGGGCCCCAAGGCCTCCCACTGGCAGCACCTCTTAGAAGCTCCACCAGTTCCCATTCTGTCACTCTGGGGACCCAGCCTGTAGCACATAGGTCACTGAAGGACATCCAAGCTCTAAGCAGCAGTAGAAATGGAGTCCATGCATTGTTTTCACATTATACTTTTACTGGAGGCCGCACATCGTTTAGTTTATGTGCTCTCTGGATTAGTTCCTGTATGTGCCCTGAACATATTTTATTGACAAGTAATTTCTTTGCCCAAAGAACTCGCTTTTTCAATACTTTGTGAATGTTAAAAAGGTTTTCTTTTCTTAAACAGGCCTTCAGTGAGTTTGAGGTTGAGCAACATCAAGAATGTGCTTACGATCACTTAGAAGTATTTGATGGAGAAACAGAAAAGTCCCCAATTCTTGGACGACTATGTGGCAGCAAGATACCAGATCCCCTTGTGGCTACCGGGAATAAAATGTTTGTTCGGTTTGTTTCTGATGCATCTGTTCAAAGAAAAGGCTTTCAAGCCACACATTCAACAGGTCAGCAAATAAGGGTCATGCTTTTCTTCTTTTTAAAAAACTTTTTATTTTATGTAAGCTCTGACTTAGCATGCAGAGTAATAGGTTTCATGATGGCATTTTCACACATACATGTCATATTTTTTTTTATAACAAACACTAGGGTTCTTTTGTAGTAGAAGTGTGGGTGTAGTTTATCATTAGAATCCCATGAGGTTACAAGGTAGCCAGTGCCTGAGCTCTGTATCTGTTGCTGTAATAAAATACCCTGACAAAAATCACCTTAGGGAAGAAAGTGTTTATCAACTTTCAGTTCCAGGTGACAGTCCATCCTTGCTGGGAAGTGAAGGCAGGAACTCAAAGCATCTAGTCACATCCTCACCTAAGAGCACAGGGAGAGTAAATACATGCATCCTCACTACTGTGCAGCCCTCTCTCTAAACTTACACAGTCCAGAATCTCCTTCTAGTGAGTGGAACCACCCACAGCAGACTGTGTTTTCCTATATCCATTACTGTAATCAATAAAATCTCCCAAAAACATGCCCACAGGCCAAACTGATCTGGCCAATCTCTCCTGAGACTCTCTTCCCTAATGAATCTACATTGTTGATAGTTAAAACTCACCATCGGGGCCGGTAAAATATCACTCTAGTGCATTATATAAAATATTTGTGGAACTGCTCATTATCCTAACTTGATGTCTCTGCAGAAGTTGAACATTCAGGGGAAAAATACAAAGCAGCAAAATCAAAAGTAAAATGATTATAATGATTAGTGTAGAATGGGAAAGTAGAAAAAACTCCAGATACTTCCATACATTTCACACTAAGCTTAGCCGTTTCACCATGTGTTACCTTTAACAGAAAAGAATTTATATCTTAGTATTAAAATATGGTTTATCTAATAAGCTGCCTATATAGCAGTCATATATTCTGTAACCAACCTTGGGATTTATGTCTTTGTTGAGAAGAGCCTCTTTTTCCTGATTCCTTGTAATGAGTAAGCAATATGATCATTTTCCTAATCCTCACCTCTAATTTGAGTGTTAGAGATTTCAGCTATTCTTTTAGTCTTTATAAGATAAAGTTTGTTTTAGAAAAAGCATTTTAAAATTAAAATAAAAATGTAAAATAAAATTATATGTAACCTGGGGACACTGTAAATGTGTGTTCTATGAAATAATCTTGGGAATATCCCTGCTTTTTCAATTAGGTTTTGGGAAAAATAACTCATCGCTGTTTGTAGGAGCCATTATCTTGCAGTGCCACCTAGTGACCATATTAAAGTATGAAGTTTTGATTCAGGAGTCTTAAAGCTCAGTAAACTAGTATAGGTTCATTCATTTACTCATGAATTTTTTCTTTTTTGTTCTATCTTTTCTTGGGGGAGTCTTTTTGAGACAGGGTCTTCCTGTAGCTTCAGCTGGCCTGCCACTAGCTAACCTTGCTGGCCTCGATATCAGAGATCTGCCTGCCTCCGCCTCCGAGTTAAAGTTTTGCGCCACTATGCCTGGTTTTCGTGAAATAATTTTCATGTGATGTTTATTGTTATATTCCATTACTTATGATTTTGCTTTGTTTTTATTTAATTTTCCTTCAGAAATACATATTTTAACTATTTCATTAGCCAATAAATTTTACTCTTTATTTTACACTTTGTAGTAGGTAATTACATTGACATAAATTCTTAGAATAATGATATAAATCCACTATTAATTATTGGGCTCCTAGAAATAATCTTAGTCGATTCAATGATGCATAATGATTAGTTTAAATATTATTATTTTGGAAAATTTTATACTACAGAAAATTCCTAAATTTATTACTCTAGATATATTCCTGATAACTTGTCAAATATTGAGGGAGTGGAAAAAATCGGCATCCACTTACTTCATTAAAATTTCTCTGATAGCATCAAATTCATGGCTTTTAAACAATATTCTGGCTACCAGAAATTTCAAGAATGCAGGACTACATGAAGTTGGGGAGTAGGGGTGTCAGTAGGGGAATAGTGGAGATGGGGGATATGGAATGACATTCTCGAAGCACCAATAATGTATATTTAAGAATTCTTGACATAGCAGATAGTACAATAGCTCACAACTTACAGTGGTGTATCTGTACATTTGATATTTTTGCTCTTACAACAATGAAGTTTTTGAGTGTCTCTCTTTTCTCCTTTGTAAATGGGAGGATACTGGCTAAACTATGTTCCTTTATATCAGTACCTCTGGGTCTTTAGTCTGGGTAGAGTTTACTTAGTAGGAAGTTTTGGCAAAGATCATTACTTGTATTCCATTTTGTTATCTGTATAATAATGGCCTTGAGGTTATTGACAGCTGTATAAATTCCATGACTCCCTAGTATTTTTGTGACTTCTTTGCTTACACTCTATTTACATGTTTATCATATACACAATTTTCATATCCTTTAATACATCGATTGTCTCAAAATTACATGAGATGAGCGGTATCACGTTCATTGTGCAGATGAGGAAATTGAACCTATGGATGACTAATTAATTTACCAAAGTTCGTAAAATAGTCTCCAAACCCAGACTTACTTCAGTTCTGAATATCTCCAATGTTAATACACATTCCTCTATAGTATATTTTAATCAACATGAAACTTTAGAATTAAGAAGGAAATGAATGCAAAAAGATGTCACTATTTGGAGTAACAGGTAAAGATCTAATCTTGTGTTCAAAGTACATAAATGAATGTAAATGACAGAATCATTTTATTTCCCCTATTCAATTGATATTCACTCAAATATCCACATGACTAATCTCAATCACATGTTAAAGCAAAATAAGCCTTGAATTGGCCTTGCCACTTCAAAAATGAGGAACCTGGAGCTAAAGGTAATAGCACAAAAATTTGTCCTAATTGGAATTGAAGTCTTGAATTCCCAGCCTCTGCTCATATATTCTGATTAGTTTCTCTGGTATTATCCTGCATGTTTTTTGGGCTCTTATATAATTGGAATTTTCTGGTTGGGTTTCTTTTACAGTACTACTAACTAGTGCTCTATGGGAAATATATTTCCATTCTGCCTGCTACGTGTGTCTCCTCAAAACACCCCCTTTGCTAAGTTGAGTTGTTAACTTTCCATCAAAAATTTAATTTGGCATTTGCTTTAGGTAGACAATATAAGGTGTTGGTAATTTATAGAAAAAAACCAGGACTATACAGGAAAAGGACAGGGGCGATTCCTGTTTATTAACAGGTGATAGTCATTGTCAAATTGATTTTCATGTAATTTTCAGTTTTTTATGGTCAGAAAGTCCAATCTAGAAGGACAGTTGACAATTATGTCATGTTTATAAAGCATTTATGTATTACCTCCTTCTAGAGGAAATACAATTGATTTGTGTCCTCAAGTGTATCTTTGAATTTTATTAGGCAAGTTTATTTTCTATATACAATATTTTGTCCCCAGTAAAAAATAGTACTAATACTTTTATAAATAGCCAAATTTCAATGCTGTTGAAGTATAGTTTATAGCTACTTTTTCAAAGTAAAGCTATCATGTCCTTGGAATATGGAGTGTATTAGAAAGAGAAATTTTTTTCTGTACTTTGACAGATGGTTCAAGCTCTGAGTCCAAATTTATTTTAACCAGGTAATTGAAAGAAACAAAACTCTAGTAAAAGAAAAATCTAGTGCCTTCCCTCAGACAGCGTGTCTGTAAAACAGAAGAAGGGGCATAAGACGAGGAGAAAATAACTCTTGAACCACGGCTTTGTGTACTTGGATGCCTCTGTTGTACCAAGCATCACATGGTTTGGCAATGACATTTAAAAATCCAATAATATGTTATCATCAAACACTTTCCAAAGCATATTATTTTGATCAAGGTCCACCTAATTAGAATGGTCCATTAAAGCATTTATAGGTCAAATTGCAGGATGTTTTTTGGAATTAAATATAAACCAGTAAATAAATATGTCTAAATTAAAAAGAAGCCACCCAGGAGCTTTTCTTTCTGACTCCTGTTTCTCTTCATTTTCCATTTCCCAGAATCCTGTGGACAAGGCTCTGGGACCTTATAAAGTACTTTATTTTTCATTGCTGTTTTTTTTCTTTTAATTTTTTATTGAATTAAAATATTTTATTTACTATTTTTATTTAATGTGTATGAGTGTATTGCCTGCATGCATGTAAGTGCACTTGAGTAGTGTAATGCTTGTAAAGGTCAGAAGAGAGTGTTAGATCCCCTTGAACTGGAGTTACAGATGGTTGTTTGCTGTCATATGGGTGCTGGGAATTGAGTCTGGGTCTTCTGCAAGACCAGCCAGTGCTCTTAACTGCTGAGCCATATCTCTATAGCCCCATTTTATTGAACTTTTGTGGTTTGCATACAATACAATTTGATGGTATTTAGATCCCCTTTGCATCCACATGTCCCCTTATTTAATATAGTCTATTATGCATATAATTAGGCCTATAGAGTCTAATTAGTGTCTCCAAATGTCATTTAGTGTTGTCCATCCACTGGAGCCTGGTTAACCTATCAAGAGTCCCATCCTTTTACATGCTGTCACCATTGCTGTGTGCTAATATGAGTAACTGATCGGCTTCCTGGAAAACTCTGTTTCCTCGTGATCATCTACCACCTCTGGCTTTTACAACCTTTCTACCCCCTCTTCCACAACAATCTCTGAATCTTGGGCAGTGGAAGCTTGATGTAGGTGTCCTATTTTGGGATAAGCATTCTTCAGCCTCTTGTTGTCTGTGCATTGGTTGGTTGTGAGTTTCTGTGTTAATCACCATCTATCTTTTGCATAAGGAAACCTAGTGTGAGAGTTGAAAGATGCATTAATCTATGGGCATAAAAACAAGTCATTGAGAGTCAGTTTAATACAGTATTTAGTTGGTAATTAGTGCCAGGCTCTCCCATATGTCCTGTGACCTGTCTAGCCTCAAGTTTCTAAGTCAGATACCAATATCAGGTAAGGGCTCCATCCTATGAAGCAGAGCTTAAATCCAAGTAAAGACTGGTTGGCTACTCCCATAA